CCTGCCGAGATCAGCATTTCCCCAAGGAAAAAACCAGCGACTTTCTATATTATATAATCCGGAAACAACATTAGTGGAGGACAAAACAAATTATTTCTCCTTCATTTCAACTTAAATTGCCAAGTAGATCTAAAGTTTAGTTTTGGCTATGACATTCTCACAATTCTATCTGTTCTTTGCTTGATACTTTTTTAAAGACCCTGCCATACATTCCACTTGTACATAATAAGCAATTCACAGCCCTGACTACATATTAGTATCCCCTGAAAGACTCTCATAAACTGTATTCACATTGAATCTTCATAACCAGTGTTTGATTTAGCTGAAGTGGGCTCAGGCATTTATTTGTTCAGCATGCAGTGTGTCCATGTCTGAAACACAAATCCAACTACCACTAGCCTTTACCTTTTTATCCAACTGAATATAGGAACCCACTTGTTTTCAGTGCATCTCAGACTTCAACATACATAGAAATCAACTAAGGATTTGTTAAAATCCAGATTCTGAATCTATATGTCAGGACCAGAGCCTGAGTTTTGCATTTCTATCAGGCAGCCCAGGGTATGGCTGAGCCTGCTGGAGCTCCTCAAAGTCTTCAGAGTCTGTGAGCCCCTACGTGTTCATCAGGCTTTTCAATGAAACTTTATATCCTCAGGATTTAAATTCAAACAACCAACATGGAATGTAATGCATGCTGCAGTCCTTTCAAAAATAAATTTGAAATTCTATCCTTATTTAGACAGTCATTTTTCATGTACAGGTAAAATAATAAATATCTACATATTTAAGATAATGATTCCGATCCTTTAAAGTAGTCATAAAAAACACTGCATGGTTTAATGACTAAGGGAGATGAGAGTTGACTGGAGCACACAATTGAAAGTTCTGGTCCTCGGAACCAGTGATGGGCGCTTATCTTGTGACCTTGGAAGCTACTGAGTCGTTTTTTTTCTCTATAAACTATAGGTAGTAAGAATCATTTTGGGGGTTGTTAGGAAGATCCCCCAATAATTAAAACATACAAAGTGCACCTCATTTCATTGACCGCTATAGGAGTAAAGGAAAGGTAAATCTTTCACAGACAACCCAATAAAAAGCCACCTCAGCATCAAAATATGTAAATCCTCACCAAAATCTTTATATTTTCAGCTTCCACCAATAAAGTTGTCTCTCTCATTCTTCGCTGTTTGGGTAACTTCCAAATATAGGACCTCCTTTTTAGTCTATTTGAAAGATTAGATTTCTTTAAAACCCATCAGATTATAAAGAGACAGAAGTGAGGTCTAGATTTGTTTGGCGTCATGTCATGAAAGGTACTGCAAAGATCAAAAAGAATGGTCTGCATTTTTCTACTAAATAGATTGATCTTTCTTAACTAAATTCTTTTTCCCCCCTTGAAGTAGAACCAAAATGGGACTATACAATTTTGGTCTGTATGCATGGAGAAATATTTTAATGTAATCATAAGATTTGCAAATCCCTTGCTATAAAATATAATTTATACTGCAGTGTTAACTTTAAGTGGTTACATAAAAAGTTAAGTGAGTGTTCTTTACCTTGTTTGTAACAGTCATGTAGTTGAAATTTGCATGATACCAGTTTCTTATTTTTTTCTTATCAGTGCAATAATAAAATAGCAGTTATATTTGAAGGGCTGTATCTACCCAGCTGTTCTAATCTTCTGTTGTTTTACTGTGTTAATTTAAATAAATGACAGCTATCTGAATACTTCCCATTGGTAAAACAGAACATAAGAGCCAATAGGGCTCTATGCTCAGGGAGATGGTGTCCTTGTGCCATCTGATTAGTGTAACGGTGGAGCAGACTGGAGGATCTTCAGGTTCTCTCCAAATTCTATTCAAATGTGAAACAGTGTAGAATCAAGACATCCAGCAGGTGTGCCTGGAATCTTTGCCAAATCAACCTTGTCCCATGCAACAGCTCCTGTGATAGAAGTGGCAGCAGGATTTTCCTCCATTAGACACTAAAAAAATGATACAAAGACCTGATCAACATGTGTTCCTTTCAAACTGATATTGGTCAATTTCACCTTTGCTCTTGGTGAAATATATGGTTTGAGTTCTTGAGACAAAGGTGAGCACTACAGTGCCTCTGATTTTGCCTCTCTTCATTTTGAGGGCTAACTAACATAGTTTGACTTTGTCCTGCCACTTTTGATTGGCTGAAATGCCCTTTAATAATCACATTTATTATTAATAGTTTTTCAGTTCAAGAAAATCTAAATCAGTGTATAATTTTATGACTCCTCCTGTCAGGGGCATTGTTGATTCAATTACCAATCATTTTGAAATGATACACTGTTATGCAAATGTCATCTATTTTAGGTGTTTTTACAAGGCATCTGCAAATGCACTTTTCCCTTCATCTTTCATTTTCATGATCATAGTTGTCAAATACTAAAATGTTTTCCAAAGAATCATGATCCTACTGAAAAAAGATACTGTAGTGATAAAATATATTTTACTTTTATATATAAATAAATTGTATGTAGCAGTATAATTTCTCATGCATATAAGCTACTCAGAATTACAAAATAAAACTAGTACAATTAAAGACTGAATTCTATATATTCTCAAAAGACACGAATCAATATATCTTTTGGTTATTTCTATTTATTTGTGAAAAAGATTTTGTGTTGACCTTTGGGCATAAAATTGGTACTTTTCCTGTGCAAACACTCATCCTATAACAAGGCTACCCCAACCAACCAATCAACCAACCTTGCTTTCTGTATTCCTTGTAGTCCCATAAAATGTGTGGCAAGGTGTGGACTGTGCTGGGGATATAAGGTGCAGAAATAGAAAGTCAAACCGTTAAGGAATACAAGAAGGAATGTTGCAAAATGACTCCTTCTCCATGGGTGCATTCCAGTTTGATGTGCACTTCGTGCAGTGCCTTGATCATGAATATTGGGCTGAGGAGGGAACACTGGATCTTTCAGTGCTGGTTATACTTCTATCCCTTGATCTGGTGAGGCTGGTTGCTTCAGAGAGGTGTTCCAGAAGATGCTTCGGAAGAGATGGCTTTCATACACAAAATGAAAGTTTTAAGATAACAAGACTAGAAAGTAGAAATCAATACCTGAAAGTATGAATTTTTGATAACATGGAGGTGTCTGCTGGGTTTTTGTAGGGTGGATTTGAGCTAACTTATCACATCTAATTCAATTCCGGCATAGTGGATTCATTAACCTCTTTTATGCCTATCTTTTTCCTCTTGTGCTGCTGGTATTTCTTACTTTTTTTCAGATGTGAAGGAATAATTAAATATTCCAGTATAGTCATACCAGGTTTATTTTGTCATGTAGGTTCAAAATAAATAGGTAAATTCCAGAAATTAATTCTAAACATTAGACAAGGATTGCTTACTCTGTACGTGTAATTGGACTTTGTCATATTGTTTTCTTACGTCATTCTAGGGTTTAGTCAGTTAGTTGCTCTTCTAGTGTTGGTCTTTGAGGATAGAGCTGACATACAAAGAGGAGACACTTTCATGAGCTCTAGTTCCTTAATGGTAAGAAATTGGGTTTTTATCCTTGTACATCTTTGGCTAGGAGAAGAGACTACATTATGATCCTCTGAAGGACCAGAACCAATCATGTGACCTCATTTCTACACTGCTGAGTCAAGAAAGGGAGGTTTAAGCACTTGACTTTAGTCACTGGGAAATCCAGAGAATTAAAAGCAGTTATAATCTTGCTTCTTTCATAACTCGGAAAAAAATTGTGCTTTCTGTTATGCACAGGCCTACGGGAAGTTTGATGGCTTTGATCCACAAAATAAAAACAAGACCATAAATCAATTTCCTTCCAAAGTACCTAGAAAACTCCACCAAAATTAAAGAATGTTAATGCCATTAAACATTTGACTAAACAAGCATATTTATTCAAACACTTTAATCAGAAATATTTTGATCAATATTATTGAAAGTTTTTTTTTTCAATTAAAATCAGCATTTTGGGAACCCTAAGTTATAATTCATAAAGTATTTAATTATTTCATTAAAAGGCAACACTAGATTATTTGTTTTCAGTTATCAAGGGTGCTTACTGGAAGTTGGCATTCGATGATATTAGAAAATGTTTTATCTACATTCCAGTCACCTACAACCATAGGACTTTAGGGCATAAACTGATGAAGATTGGATTATAAAAAGGATTTTTACTTAAAAACACATTGGTGTTTGAGTGGAGTTGAAGGTAGCACAAATGGCATATTTAATGAAAACCAAAACTCAATTTTAGGAGAGCTGAAAATAACCACAATATCATGAATCTCCCCCTCCCCAAGTCAGGCCATTGTGACCTCACTTTCAAAATAGCTCATTCAAGGTCACTGCTCTCATCTTTAGAAAAGCAAGTAAAATATGAACAACTTCCTGTTTTGATCTAGCTGGAAAATCTGACCAACCTAATGAGTTAGATTCTGGGACATTGGGTAAAGTAAAATAAAGGATTTTATATTTTATGATATATTTGTACATTTATTATTTTAATAAAATTTTATGATAAAACTATTGTGTTTGGAAATGTAATAAAGAACAATGAAAGAAAAAAAAAAAACCCCATAAGTCTACCTGCCAGAGATAACCTTTGTTGACTTTCATTGTGATTTATTGATATGTTTTAAAAGAGTGAATTCCAAGGCATAATTTAGACAAGTCCACGATAAAGACATATACTAAAAAGTGCAATTTTTTCTTTCCTCAATATTATGACCTGTGATTTTTCTGATTTTCCTTCTCATGATGATGACAAACCTATTAGTACTGAATGCTTTATCTAAATTAATTCTCTGGTCCTAGCAAAGGGAGCTACGCACTGGGCAACCTCTCCAGTCTTTCAGGCCTGATGTCCAGTCTTGAAGTACCAAAAAGTACAGGCGTTTCTCAATCGCTGCTTGTCTGGGATGTGCTTTCCTCTGTGTTCCTTCTTTTTCCTCTTCCCCTTGTTCGTCAATCTCTATTCTTCTCTGTTTCAGCAAAACAATATCAGTCAAGGTAATTGATGATGAGGAGTATGAGAAAAACAAGACCTTCTTCCTTGAGATTGGAGAGCCCCGCCTGGTGGAGATGAGTGAAAAGAAAGGTGGGGTAGCTGCTCCAGGGCTGAGCTCAACAGCTTCTGCTGGCCTGTGCTACCCTGGATGCCTGCACTCTTCAGAACATGATGCTAGACACACATCCCTCCACCTATGTAACAGGGCATTGCTCTCACCCTGGGCCGCGGTGGGCTGGGCCTGTAGCTAAATCAGCCGATTATGGCCACTCTGCACATTCCAGGTCTGAAAGATTAATTTTCAGTGCATTCAGTGAAGCATTCAATGCTCATGTCTCCTTGGTACACGTGTGACGTTATGTGAGAATGAAGCCGACTTCCTGATTCACTGTCTTAATGTGGGGTGCCTTCTGACTGCTGATCAAAACAGGAAGCATTTGTGCAAGGGGTCAAGAAGCCCACATAACTTAACAGGGGTCAACTGAGAGCATCCAAGATGCCCTTTTACATACTTCGGGAGGTCCATGTGCGCCCAGCTTCCCTCCGTAACATCACAGTAACATCCAGCTTGTGGACATCTACAGCATGAGCGTGTGACTCCAACCATTTGTTTTGCCTTTGTCTTGTGTTCCCACAGGAAGATCATTACCATTAGAATATTTGACCGTGAGGAATATGAGAAAGAGTGCAGTTTCTCCCTTGTGCTTGAGGAACCAAAATGGATAAGAAGAGGAATGAAAGGTGTGAGAGTATTCAAAGACATATCAGCGAGAAATTGTACTCTTCTCTCTCTGTGTCTCCTTACTCTCACACTTACCTCTGTCCTCTTCCTCAGCTTCCAAGTACTAAACAAGAATTGCCTTTGAAACTTGAGCAAGTTCATTTCCCTTCCCTGATTCACAAGTGCACCAACCAATGCGCATTTTCTTTTAAAAAAATGCTGACTAACCTTGATTGCAACAAGATTTTGATAAGTACTGGAAGAGATTCTTGCAATTAAGAAGTGATGGTGTAAAAGAAAAAGGATTTAATTTTTCACTGCTTGGGGTTTGTTCTAAAATGTGACTGCAACTATTAAATCTCCCCCCAAATGTTAGGGAGAAGAAGCATTATGTTGTATTCTGTCAATTATACCTCAATGAAGATGGAAAGAAAAGCTACTTAATATGTATTAGTATTAATATGTATTAGTAATAGTATACATTTCAGGAGAAATAAATTAGGCTTCTTTAGCAAATTCAATGTTTAAAAAGAAATTAATGAAAACAAAGATCCTTAAAGAGTAGATTTATCAGTATTCAGGGTCTTGGCATGATGCTTTTCATATCATCAAATATGACAATTAAAAGGTGCCATATATATGAAACTGTACTCAGATCAATTTTATTTAGTTAGAAGGATATGATTCTTCAGTAAAAATTTAATCTTTACCTAAGGCCTGTTCAGCCTTATGTTCTAGAATATTTTGAGGTTTATAGAATTCATTAACTTTAACATGTATTAAACTTAAAAATATAAACAGCAACATCCTTATAATTAGACTTTGTTGGTTCATAATAAGGACTAGAAAAATATTTGAAAATGAGCCAGTTTTCTTTATTATCTGATTTCTTATTTCATGTGGCCTATATTGGATAAAAGATTTACAAATAATCTTGTATTCAGGACTATTGCTAGAACTTCTTGCAGTTATCCTCTCACAGTGGCTACCTTAAAAGATTTAATTAATATATGTAAAATGAACATACTATATATTAATGTATTATTAACTATATAGTTAATGAGAGTAGTATAGGGAATAATTAAATAGACTATATTTTGAAAGAAACGTATACTATTACAAGTAAGAGAAAAATGGTGGCACATGGCTGCAATCTCAGCACTTGGAAGGCTAAGGCAAGAGGAAAACCATGAGTTTGAGATGAGCCTGGGTTACATCGTGAGTTCACGGCAAGCCTGAACTGCATAGTGAGACCCTGCCTCAAAAAGCCAATAAATAAAATATATAGGACTAACTCCTATGTAGATCCAACATTTGAAGAAATTTAATCTCATTTATGAGAACTTCCTACTTGGGATGCATTGAGGTTTTTCAAAAGTATACATCCCTCACTTAAGCAAGTTCAAAATGGCAACAGGGACTTTTGAAATGCTGGAAAGAAGAGCACTTATGATCATTTTAATACTATTTATTTAATAAGCTCCATAGGCAGGGAACAGAGGGAAAAGAGACTTCAGAAAAGTAAAAGTATGCAGACGTCTTACAAAGATGGGATCAAAAATGCCTCATTAACATCCAGGAAAAAGCACTTAGCTTTAAAACTATTCCTCCAAAGAATTATCTTGTTTCACAAGGAACAGTATAACGGATACAGTTCTTTCAGTTGTCATTTTAGTAAAATATGCTCTTGAGTAAAAGCAAATTAAAATTCTTTGTTGGCACTATTCGGTTTTGCAACAAGTGGTTTCCTGTCACTATAAATAACATTACTGACTTATGTTAGACGTTACCCGTAGAGGGTAATTTCACTACCATGAGAGAGGAAACTAGCCTGAAGATGTAAAAGTAACTTTCCCTTCTACAATGCAGAAGGGATTTGTTCAGTATCTTTAGCCAGGTAACTTTTCTAAATCAAAGTACTTCGGCTCAGTCTAAATATAAACGACATAAACTCAAAGAGATTATCTGTGTTTGCCCCACCTTCCCTGCCCTGTCAGTTTCTGGGGAGCCATGTGTCCACTAGAGGCAGTCTAGTTATCTAACATTTCTCAGGGGTCACTAGTAGGGACATGCAGATAAGCATCAATTCTTAGCCCTCTTAGGATTCAAGAATTTTTTAAACAAGCAAATCATGGCGGCCAACATACCACCCAAATAGCTTGTTCAGAGAGAGAGAAAACTTTATTTCTGGCCAAAATCTCCTTCCAGGAAAGGCGAGCAAAATATAGTTTCTTAGGATCTTTTACTTGTTTGTACTGATTAAAATATATGATAGCTGAGATCAGGGTAATTTAAGACTTCCAAATGCTGGATTCACTAATTTCCAGGTAATACTTAATGAGGAAGAACCTTCAAATCAAGGTGAGGTTGAACTTTACACAATATTTCTACTATATTTTGTAGCTGTAGATACTTTGTGTGAACATATATAGTAGAAATGTCTTTATTAAATTTAAAGAAACTATATATGTAGGGATTTTTTTCTTCCAGTCACATATATTTGGATAAACTTGTTGGCATCATTTGTGTCCCAACACATTTCCTTTGGGTGCACCAATTTTTTAAGCAGTGGCTTTTTACCACTCAAATCAAATCTGCCTGGATTTCTTTCTGCTGATATTCCTCTTACTTTCATTATTCATCTGGTCTCTTATTCTGTGTTTGTCTTGTCTATTTCCTTCACAGCCCTGTTATTGAATGAGCTTGGTAAGCATTTCATTTCTTGCACTTCCTTTCCATTTTTTCTAAGTTGTTTTTCATTTCTGTTAGGTAAGACAGTAGGGCTCTGATTTTGATTTGCTAGTAAGATTATTGTTTAGAGCCATTAACCATTTTTTTTTAGTTAAAACCAAACTATTCATATTACCTTTTTAATTTAATATAATCTGTATAAAAATCAATGATTTCATAGGTATATATAAGAATTGTTTGTGTACTACATTTGATAATCTTACAGAATTAGTGATCCCATCATAAATTTATGCTTTCAAATTCTTCTTAGTTATAATATAGTTTGGCAAGTTTTCATTCTTTGGGTAGGTTATCAAACAGTCTATTGTCACTGTATTTGCTATTTTGAATGTAAGTTAAATTGTAATGTTTACTTTTTTTCTTTTTTTAGGTGGCTTCACAATAACAGGTATGAATTTTTGAAATCTTGTCAGTTGAATTTTTATTATGTGCTTTCAACATAATACATTTTTAAAAATTATTTCTTGTTTTTCTTTGCTTTAATAAAGGAAAACACCTCTACGGTAAGACAGTTTTTTTTAAGTTCCTTTTTCCCCAAAAATATTCTTAAATTTAAACCAAACCCAAATGCTTATCTTTTGTAACCAGCATTAATATTTAGGTGTAATACATGGTATGCTCTTACTAATTGTACCAATTTAACATTTTACAAATTAACAAAATGTGTGTATTGTTTATTTCTAAAGATCATAATTCATATGAGGAATTTAAAATTGTTCACATTTGCTATTGACCAATTTATAAATAACCACATAACACTGATAACGTACAGTATACTCTGATAAATGACACACACAGTTTCTGATCTTGTAAAAACATAGTGGATATCCAAGACTGCTCCATAGCCCAAGCTTAGGATCCTAATAAGAGAAATTGCTAAGTTAGGAAAGGACAGAGCAGTCCCTTATCTTTTTCCCCCTACCCCAAACTGAGACTCTCATTGGGAACTTGGTTTTGGTATTAATAACATGGCAGCAAATAATATTTCAACCACTTTGACTGCATTATATAGTATGCTCCTTAAAAACTCAAAGGCCAACCAGAAAGCTTAAAGGCCTTAAATGGCAAATTGCATCAACCTATTTATTGCATAATTTAGAACATATCTAAATCTATTTTCATGTGCACAAGTAGAAGATATCTCCTAACAGCATCCTTTGCTCCTTAAATATCTTCTCACCTTGTCAGAATCATCTATGCAGATTTAGAAAGGAAGCTAGATACCAAATAATAGCGATGATGTGTCAGAAGCTGAAGGTTAAAGATGTTTCTAATGCCTACATCCCATAGCCTGCATGTCCTTTTCCAATGCATTGTATGACCATCCAAATTACGATATCAAAGAGTTGAAAAATTATTTAAAAGAAATACTATGAAAATTTATAATAATTAAAACACTAGTATGGGAGTTGGGGTTAAGCTAAATCCTTGTTAATGTTAACTCAAAAACATGTAGTTTCTTAGTGATTCTATACAAAGGGGAACTTTCTGAATATAGGCAGTTTAACATAAATTGTTGTTTTCCACTGCTACCCTCCAGATATAGTGTTAATTGACAAAATGATACACAGATCCTCAGACATACACCATTTGAAAGGAAGAAACTCATAAAAAAATCCTTAAATCTGATTCATCTGGACTTCTCCCAGGGCTCCAATTCTAGATCACTGAAAGTATTTATGAATCCAAAAACAGGAATTCACACTTATTTTAAATTTTTGTCTTCTCATCCATAATTTTACCTCATTAAAAACGCCTTGAAAATATTCTCTTTCTGTCACTCAAGGATGAATTAGTTATCCTTGAGAGATGTGAAGAACGTGAAACTGTGGCAAGCCAGCCTTCTACCCTTCGTGAAAGTAATTATTTTTATAAAGTCAACCATTGTGGAAATAGTATATTACCTGACAGCATCTTTGGTCCTGTGGAGCCTGATAATAAGAACTCAACTAAAACTATTTGGATAGAATGCTATGATGTCCTTAGATATCTTCCCATCTCTCATGGAATATGCTAAAATTTCATTTTTAAAGGCTTCCTCCTAAATCTTTGACCTGTCTTCCTTTTAGTGTCTCAGATAATCGGGTCTTAGTTTTCTTTTCTCAAAAAATTCTTCACACCAAGTTTCATCTTGTCTCTCCAGAAACATTCATCTTTCCCTGCTTTGGCCCCATCTTGTATCTAGCAGGGCAGAATCACTTGCTCCAAAACTTTCTACCATTTCAGGGAGTTAATTATTTTTTTCTTAAAATCTTACTCTGTAACAACACTTTTTAAACTGTCATTGCTCTGCCTCCAGAACTTGAGTTTAATATACATAGAACAAGATAATGTTCTGGAAACTTCCACATTGGTAGATGTTGTGCTACTTTAAATTCACTTCGTCTCCCAAATCAGACCAAAATGCCCAGGATTCACTCTCTACTGCTGTTTCTGAGGAAAGCACTAAAACTTCAAGTCTACAAGTGAAAGACAGCCTTTTAAGACCCTGTTCTTTGAAGTCAGGATGAGGCTTTGAAGTCAAGGATTTGAGATGCAGGGAAAGAAGAGAAGAATTAATCCAGCTCTTGGACTTTGCCTGCAGCTTTTGCACTTGCTTGTATAACTGTCAGTGTCTAAATTTGAAACAAGATATATGGAAATCGAAAAGGCCATTTGGGCCACAGCCTAATGTAGTTATTTTAGAAATCTTATAAGTGATAGACATTAAGTTTGGGGGGTACCTTGGTAATTTGCAAATCTTTACCTGTTGCTTCATTGAAAGGATTTTGGATCCACTTATTTGGATCTAATATCATCATCCCTTAACCTCTTAGGTGTATGAGAATATTCTATAACTTATAGTTCCTTAGAGTTTGTAAAGACTATCATTTTATCACTATCATTAAGGATTTTATTGTTCTCAGTTATATCATGAAAGGTTCAAAGAAATTGATCTTCTACTTCAAATCACCCATCCAAAAGTAGAGCCAATGTCCCTGACTTTAAATAATAGCCCATTTGCTGACTGTCCTAAGCCCACCACCATTCTATGTCTTTTCTCCCAGTTCCTTGATTTCTACTTGCTTCTTGAAATAACACAGTGAACTCTTTTTCAACCCAAAGTCTGTTTTATAAATGCCATCATTATGAATTTCAGTCAAGTAGAAAATGAGAGAGACGCCAAAAGAAGAAAGATAGAACAAATAAATAGGAGAATTGTATAAAATTCAGTATTGTGACTTAATTTCAGAGGAAGAGAGATATGTTTGATTCCCCTCAAACTTATACAACATAAACCATATGTCTTAAAATTATATAACATAAAATACACCTCTTTAATACTACTCCATGCATCATAGTATGTTCCTGTAACAGACTTAATAAGGTGCATTTTAAGAAAGTTGAACTGTGAAATTTCTGACAGTTGGAAACATTTTTATCACTCCAGTGTATCAGTGGGAGGAACAAAGCCCTTCAGACTACTTCATTATACAACTGAAAAAGTTGAGTCTTCATGAGGAGAAACACTCTGCCCAAGTTTAGATGGCGGACAAATGGCAGTTACTTCACTCAGACAAATAGAGAGGACAGGCACGACTATCCCTTTTTCCATATTGGAAATTGAATAAACAAACTCCAGTCTGAAATTTTGACTCTAACAAACTTCAAAACCAAGACACTTGTCACTGCACCAAATGTTTTCTGTTGTTTGGTGAAGCCCTTGGAATCAGTGATTTGAAAAACCTGAATGCCCAAATACCGTATTTTAGAGACATACAGGAAGCTCACTTTGCCACACCTTGGGCATGTGAATTGCCTCATGGAACACTTTCCCCATTTGTGAACAGTAACCTCCATAAGTAACTACCAAAGCTCCCTCTTGTGACCTTCATGGGAGTGAAGAATACCACTCTTAAACTAACATTGCCTGCAGTGTGTGCATCTGGGTGTGACATTTAGCCAACTAATTCCACAGAGGTCTGATGGCAAATCCGTGAAGTCCATTCTACTGATTTTCTGCTTGTCCCTTTGCTAGGCCAACCTGTCTTGAGGAAAGTTCATGCTAGAGACCATCCGATCCCCTCTACTGTAATCACAATTGCAGGTATTCATTTCATCATAATCCTAGCAAACCATAGTCATCAGATATTCCTTGGGTCTTTAGTAATATGGTGGCTTTCCTAGAAGCTAGAGATTCCATGGAATAGCAACAAAATAACACATTAGGACACCGTGGAAGACACTGTCAAGGAGGCAGCATGGACCTGCAGAGAAGCTGATTCATTGGCCACTCCCTCTCAAGTTTCACTATTTTCTGGAGTTTTTGAAAATATTCCTTTTTATATCAATCTGTCATTTCAACCAAAATGAAATTCTTTTAGAAGCCAAGCTATAACTCTTCCCACCATCTACCTTTCCAGATAAATAGATGGTAACGTGGGGTTTCTCCATAAGAACATAAAAGAATGTGGACCAAGTGATTAAAGCATGACCTAAAAATACCAGATCTACTCTGAGTATAGAGCATGAATACCGTATTCTGGCACTAAATCACTGGATGAGGACAAAAATGTTTGCTGTCCATTCTCCACTGTTTGTCCATCATGGGACATGATGTTAGAAGCACTTCTACTGAACTCAGTGTACCAATAATCATGATACTCACCTATGAATACAAAGCTGTTTCTGAATATACCTCAGCAAATTAAAGAACCAATCTTTCTTGGCTCCAGTCAAAAAAACCAACCAGGTCAAGTGGCCTTTGCTTTGAAATCTATTAGCATGGTTCTGATTATAGGATCAAAATAATCTTTCACAATTTTTTTCACTGCTGGCCTTATCCCCTTTTCTAAACTCTACATTGTGTGTTAAGAACAATATTATGAAAACATTTAAGAATATCAACAGGGGTTCCTCAGCTACTGATCTCTACCCTGATAGCCCATGTGAGTTGTATTGTTCCCTAAAAGAATTCTCTCTCACCCTTTAATCTCACAGTGACTGCTTTAGAACGCAGCTTGAACCAGAAAGCTTTATAAGCATCTCTTTTCATAATTCTGCCTTTCCTATTCCAAGATGCTATGAGCTTTGCTGTTTATAAAAGGCAAGCATTCAAATAAAGTGAGACACTCCCTCACCAACCCAGTGATTTCATCACAGGATTGGTGTACATCATTTCAGTACTGTTTTTATCAGTGGCTGTTAATTTTGCATGTGATTTCAGTTATTTTGGTTGGTTAATACTGTAATTTATTTGCAGGTTTTCAATAAAATATGATGAGTTTTAAAAATACACACAAGGAGAGAGAGAGAAAGGGGGAGGGGAAAGAGGGAGACATGGGGAGGGGTTGGAGAAGGAAGAGAAATAAAACTAAGACCACAGCATGTTATCCCTCTGAATGATAAGGAAATAAAGGGACCCTGACTATAGTAAAATTATCAGCTTTTGATCTAATACTCTAAGAAAACAAATATAGTAGCTGACCCCTCTCAAACGCTGTTAAACCTTTCTCCATTCAATGAATAACATCTAAAGAGAGTTAAAAAAGAAACACTTAAAAAAGAAAAGACTCAGCTCTCTTATTCTCCAGTGTCAACAATCTGAAGCATAAATGGTAATTTATTGGCATTAATATAGGTTTACCTGATTATATTATGTATAAATGTAACGAACTCTGAAACGTTCACAATACTTACCAAGTGAAACTAGTCGTGACCAGTCCATGATACTGTGACCTTGTGCTTGAGTTCTATCTGCCTGGCAGGCATCTCCTCACCCACTGTCTACTAGCCACCCTTCTTAGCACTTCTGTCTGGCCAGCTTCAAGGCCAAGGCAAACCAATGCACCACTCTCACCATGGTATTTCTTCCGTTACTACACTATGCTACAAATCATTCATCTATATGCCTTTCTTTCCCATAGACCATAAATTTCTGATACTATCAGACTGTAGAAGTGCAATTAAATGCTAAAAAAACATTTTTAGTGACAAAGCAAATAAAAGACTTTACTAATAGAGCATTGAACTACAAATATGACATAGGCCTTGGGAAATGTAAGAACAGTTTACAAGAGAGACCGCTGTTCTATCCTGGCAGATGTATCTTCTGGATATTTATATGTGTCTTAATCTCTTTACTTATCACTGGAACAAAATCTTAAACCTAAAACCTAAAGGAGAGGCTCATTTTGGAAGATGTTTCAGTACATAGTTGGCCGATTCCAAGACAGGAAGGAACATGGGGAAGGGTCAGGCTAAAGGAAGTTGCTCACCTCATGGTGTCTGGGAACCAGGAAGCAAAGAGAGAAGCCAGAGCAGGAGATAAACCCTTTTAGGCAGTACCCCTGGGGAACCTTCCTCTTCTGTCCAGACTGCGCCTCCTATGAGCGTATCACCTCCAATATACTCACCTTCCAAAAGCCTTCCCCACCAGTATGTGAGATTTGAGAGGATGCAAGATATACAACATTACAATATGTAAATGCAATTAAAAGTTAAGAAAACAGGACAGTGTATGAGAATGTTCATACTGAATATACACAATAAATATTAAGCAATCAGTGTAACATTAAAGTAGTAATTCTAAATCCCATATTTTCAGTCAGGGTATCTGATATGGGAAGATTATTGAAAGATATACAGGATCTAAGTACTATAGGTGGGAATATGAAAATATTTCCAGAGGGACACATAAATAGGATAAAAGTGTGGCTTGAAATAAGAATGTAGCAAGTGATAGAAACTTTGTTTTTTCTTAGATTGTGATGAAATTTTAGGACAGTATTTCCTATAGTTTTGCAATTTTCATACCTCCTTTACAATGTTTGTTTTGATTGAATATCAATTGTACTGTTAGTAATTGAAAAGTAGTGTAATTTCCCATAAGTACAAAGAAAAATAAAATAATTTTACAGTGAGGAAATGTTACAAAAATAGAACGAAATATTATCAGATGCTCCATTCATGTAATCTACTTTTTTTTAAAATGGTAGTAATGCAAAATTAATGGACAAATAAGATATTTCTATTACTATGAAGTAATTCATGATGACCAAACCAACTCTAAAAAGTATATTTAAAGGTATTCCAGAAAGCTATAAAAATGACCACAACCCCAAGAACACCAATAGAAAGAAACCATCAGGCAAGAAAAGCAGTTAAACAGAGGAGAACGATGGAACTTACATCATGGAAATAGCACGGCAAGGACAAGACAGTATGGTATGTATCAGTTATAACCATCAGTGTAAATGGCCTCAATTCACCAATCAAAAGAAACAGACTGGTGAATGGATAAACAATACACAACAATATGTATACAGGAAATACATTTAACTCAAAAAGAAATTCATAGATGGAAAGTCAAAGAATGGAAAAACAATACTCCATGTGACAGTAACTCAGAAAAAAATCAAGGGTAATATTCTATTTTCAGAAAGTGTGAACTCTAAAACAGGAATAATCAAAAGAGATAAAGAAGATCACTACCTACTTGTTGGGGGAAAACTTGAAGAGATACCCATAAATATATATACACCAAATAGGAGCACCCAACAACATAAAACAAATATTAATGCACATGAAGACTCTATAAACACTAACACAATTGTCATGGGGGCCCCTAACACCCCACTGTCACAGATAGATCAACCAGATGAAAAAAATCAACAAAGAAATATCATAACTGAACTGAACCTGTGAACAAATGGACTTAGTAGATGTTTATAGTTTCCACCCAATAACATCAGAATATACATTCATCTCAACTGTGCATGGAACATTCTCTCAAGTAGACCACATACTGGGCCATAGAGTATGTTTCAGTAAATATGAAGGAATTGAAACTATCCCATGCATATTGTCTGACCATAGTGCAATGAAATGGGAAGTCAATGGCAAAAGAAACTGCAAAACCTACATAAACACATGGAAATTAAATAACAACCTTTTGAACAACCAATGAAGAAAATAAAGAAGAAATCAAACAATATCTATCATTAAATGAAAATGCTGATACAATACACTGGAACTTATATCAGGAAAACAGAACAAGCTCAAATGAACAAACTAATGCTGCACTTCAAGCTTCTAGAAAAAGACGAGGAAATCAAATTTTAAAAAACCATAGAAGGAATCAAATTATACAGAACAGAAATTAATGCAACTCATACTAAGAAAACAATACAAAGAATCAATGAATCGAGTTAGTTCTTTGTAAGAATAATCAAAATTGACAAACTCTTAACTAACCTTATCCAAAAGAAGAAAGATTCAAATTCATGCAATTAGGAAAGAAAACAATGAAATCACTATGGATCCTGTGGAAATTCAGAAGAGCATCAACCTTCTTTGAGAAGCTTTAATAAGATGGAAAACAGAAGAAGTGGACAGATTCCTAGGTATGTATGAATTGAATCAATAAGTTATAAAAATGTCAAATATCCCAATATTGTTTAATGAAGTTGAAAATGTAATGTAAAACTAACCAACAAAGAAAAGCCCAGGTCTGACAGATTAATTGCTGAATTTTAAAGATCTAATGCTGATACTCCTGAAACTCTTTAATGAAAGGAAAGCAATACTCCTTAACTCACGCCTGGAGGACGTATTCTCCTGAAAACCAGAGAACGATCCAACCAAAAAAGAACCTCAGGCCAATGTCCCTAATGAACATAGATATAAAACCACTCAATAAAATACTAGCAAACAGAATGCAGCAAATAATCAAAGACATTATATTATATGACCAGGTAGCATTTATCTCAAGAATGCAGGAATGGTTCACCATATACAAATAAATCAGTGTAATACACTTTGTCAACAGAATGAATGATAAAAGCCATATGATCTCAGTAGATGCAGAAAAAGTGTTTGACAAAGTGTAACACCTATTACAGACAAAAATCCTGTAGCAAATTAGAAGAGTTAGTATTTATCTCAGGCCGATTAAAGCATCTATCACAAACCAACAGCCAACATCATAATAAATGGTCAAAACTAAAAGCTTTCATTCTAAAATCTGAAACAAGACAAGTATGTCCACTGTCACGATTTCTATTTCATATAGTTCTAGAAACATTAACCAGAGCAATTAGGTAAGAGAGAGAAATAAGACTCAGAATAGGAAATGAAGTTAAATTTTCATTAATTGCAGACAACACAATACTCTTACGAAGAAGACCATAAAACTCCATTGAAAGATTTATAGATTTAATAAGCAAATTCAGATGTGGACCTGATACAAAGTCATCACTCAAAAATTAATAGCATTGCTATACGCAAATAAAAAACTCACTAAGGGTGAAATTAGGGAAACCACATCTTTCACCATAGCATCAAAAAAAAAATCAAATGCATAGGAATCAATCAAAGAAAAGAAGAGAACTCTATGTTGAAAGCTACAGTACTCTAAAAATGATCAAAGAGGATATCATAAAATAGAAAGATGTCCCTTGCTCTTTGGTAGGAAGAGCCAATATAGTGAAATGACTGTACCCCAAAAATTGTTATATGTATGTAAGGCAGTCCCAACCAAAAGGCATACCTCACACAATTAGAGAAAACTTTCCTAAAATTTGTTTGAATCAAAGGAGATCTAGAATAGCAAAAGCATTTCTGAGCAAAAATGCAAGGCAAGAGCCATCACAATCTCTGACTTGAAGTTATACTATACAGCTACTGTGATAAAAACACTAGTATTGGGGAAAAAAGACAGACTAGAGGATCAGTGAAACAGATGGAACAAATTAGAGGTTGCAGAAACAGCTGCAAACACACTTAGCCACTATATCTTTGACAAAAGTGGCCAAACACATTCACTGGAAGAAATATAGCATCTTTAATAAATGGTGCTGGAAAAACTGACTTTCCACATGCTGAAGTCTAAAGCTAGACCCATGTCTATCAATATGCAGTAAACTAAAATCAAAATGAATCAAACATTTAAATATTAAAACAAAACCTAAATCTGCTGCAAGAAAAAATAAAGTAGAACTCTTGAAGACACAGTATAGGCAAAGACTTCATGAACAAAGCCCAGATCATATGGGAAATGCTACAAACAGTTCAACAACTGGAAAGTCATCTTACTAAAAAGCTTTTGCATAGCAAAAGAAATCACCAACAGAGAAAAAAGACAACTCACAGAGTGGGAAAAAACAGCTTAACCAGTAGCTCCTCAGACAAAGGACTAATACTCAAGAACATACAAGGAATTGAAAAAAAAAAAATCAAATCCCCTAAATTCAAAGACCCAATCCAAAAATGGGCATCTGAGATGAATATATACTTCTCAGATAAAAAAGTACAAATGGCAAATAAATATGTGACAAAATGTTCAACATCACTGGTCTTTCAAGAAATGCAAATTAAATCAACACTGAGATCCTATCTCATTCCAGAAAGAATGGGTATTATAAAAAAAAATCAACCAATAAGAAATGCTGGTGGGGCTGTGGGGAAAAAAGAATGCTTTTTCACTGTTTGTGAGAGTCGAGATTGGTTCACCATTGTGAAAATCAGTGTGGAGATTCCTCAAAGAACTAGAACTGGAGGTTCCATTTGACATAGCTACTGCCCTTCTGGGTATCTTCCCAGGAGAATTAAAAGCATCTTATTACTATATTATATGCACACGAGTTTATAGCAGTGCAAACTGTAATAGTTAAAATCTTGGAAACAACCCGAATGCCCATCAATTGATAAATGAATTTTTAAAAAGGTGTGGGTTTTCTTTTATGTAATGAAGTACTACATTCATAAAGAAGGACAAAGTGGAGACAGTTTTTGCTAAATTGATACCATGCTTTTGATACCCTGTTCTTAGGTTAAATAAACTGGACATGTGTGTAAATAATGCACTACCTGGTGTGAGAGACTAAAAGTGTAAATAAGAACCAAACTGCAGAAGAAATATGGTGAAATGGTAAGAAATTGGATAAGAGGAAGAGAAACTAGGGATGAGCAGAGGAAAGGAAGGAAGGAAAAAAATAAGAAAACAAGGATAAAATAGAAACAAAGCTTTGTAAATAGGAGAGGAGGGACTTCCAAAGAGGGGAGAAGAGTGCGAGAAAAAACAGGCAAATCAAAGTATATCATGTGCAGGTACAAATTCCCTATGATGAATGCGATCATTCTATGTACCTAAATTGTACCAATAAACTTAATTAAGTTTAAGATAATAAAATAAAATAGAACAGAATAAAATAAAATAAAAGTAGTAAAGCAAATATTAGAGGCAGGCTATAAATTTAAGGTCATCAAACTGAGCATCTATTCTTGATTAGAAAGACTGAAGTATTACAGAGAAACAAAGCCTTCACCCATTGATTGTTTTTATTTATAATCATGTACCTTTACTGAATACGATGCTCCAAAACCATTTCATTTTGTGAAGTGCTGCCAAAAAGTCTTACCACATCACTTTTCAAACTTCTCTATTTTTCTATTTCAAAGCAACTTTCATATATAAGTAAATTACAGAAAAGTGGCCATAAGAAAAAGTCTCTCTAAATTACTATAAATTTCAAATAGATATCCAATTCATAATAGTTTTTCTTCTGGGAAAATAATGCTTATTCAACATAAATGTTCAAGATATCATATTTGCCAAAATTTTGAACAAAAATAGCCATATTACCTGCACTTATAAATACTACAAATAGCATTAACATGGATTTAATGATCAGAAAGCAGTAGGTATCAAAAAATAATTGACCTTTGGATAAATTGGACCTCACTGTTTTAGTTAATGTCCTAGACTGACACACATAATTTCACAAGTCCTAGGGACTCCACCTAGAACCCTTTACCTTTCCTTGAGTCCTACCTTCCCAGTTCTACTTTTGAAAAAATTACCACTTTAGTGATTTGCCTGTCTTTTGTCTCTGTTAATATTCTATAGCTCCTGAACAGTCTGAAATCATTTATTTTTAGTCTTCATCTAATTTCTTTGATCTTCTGTAATCACTGGACATAGGAAAGCCAATTTTAAGATATTCTTTTAAGAAGAAATTATTTGATACATACTAAAAAGGTAATCAAAATGCTACATTGTGCTTTTGCCCTCCGTTAGTTTTGATACTAAAATACATATGCTCACAGTACTCTTGCAAATCTGCTCCCTGATCTCTCAGTAAGCAAATGGCCTAGGAACTATTTGCTGCATCTATTGCTGGGGAAACAAATGCACCTCCCACAGAAGGGTCTTTTGGCAGAGGGGACACCATAGGTCTCCAGAGGGAAGGGGAGGTCTGACGGGTCTGGTCCCCTGAAGAAACTGATGTGATGTCTCAAATGGAGAAGTCATTCTGGGTAAGAAGTCTCATCCCTTTAGATTGCTTGTGTTTTCTATATCATCATCTCACTCGCTAGAGGTGAGGTTCATTTCTACTTATCACTGAATGTAGGAAGTAGCTTGTCTTGGTCTAGAGCCCTGGGCCAGAAGGATCAAGGTGACTTCAGAGCTGTCATGTATCCTCCACATCTTCAGGGCCTTTTCAAGCTGCAGTTTATCCTAATGACCTTCATGCAGAGAGAGTCAACTCTCTGTGAGCTTTCCCTTATCAGTGGACTCTTGGGTCCATTAACATGTTCTCAACAGCCACTAGCCTCTAGTAAACAACATGTTGGCTCTGAAACTAATCATGTTCACATAGTGGATGAGTATTAACTTCCCAGAGGCCTCAGCCGCAGCCTCCCTGTTTACCATGAACACAGTCAAGGTTTTCCTAACACATTTCGGCTCTGAACCAGAAACAGGAAGCCCTAGAGCCCAGGTATCTCATGAAACCATGGAGTAAGTGTTTTACCACTTAATTTCTAACAAGTACTTTTGGCAAGTGACAAAATAAATCAGAATTTTGTTTCCATCCTCTCTTTGGACCTGAGTCAGCTTCTGTTGACTCTAGAAAATGGTTAAGAGGATGCCAAACTTTTACATCCCTCAGGGTCTCTCACAGACTTTTAATTATGTCTCCCTTTGGTGCAGTTATGAAGGAACAGGTACAAAGAAGCAGCTGAACATTGCAGGGAACACACACAAAGAGACAGCAGCACAAACTTGTGGGCTGGGTCCTTCTCAGTGACAGCCCTACGAGTACTCTTGCTTCTCTGTACTTTTTTGCATCAGTTTAGGCAATATGGCCTTATAATTGTCTCCTATTGTAATGTTATGTTTTCCAGTTTGTTTACAACCTGTCCAATTCCCCCCTTCACTGTCTTGCCCAAAGACTATTAGTAGGCCATTAGAGGTGCTCTCTCCCTTGGTTCTCTCATAGCAAGATCAAAGGATTGTCAAATGAAAAAGAGCACATTGTTCACTCTCTTGCCTTCCCTTCTTCAGACGAATATGATGACAAACAGCCGTTAACCAGCAAAGAGGAAGAAGAGAGACGCATTGCAGAGCTGGGGCGCCCCATCCTGGGAGAGCACACCAAGCTGGAAGTGATCATTGAGGAGTCCTATGAGTTCAAGGTATGCCAGGAACACAGTCCATCTGGGAGGCTTGCTCGCCTGGGGCCAGCTGTTCAGTGTCGGCATCTCCACCTCAAAGGAGAGGGAGATGTCATTCTAGATGTAACTGGTGTATTCTTTGAGAGGCATACAGAGTCACAGTGGAGTTACAGAGTTAGAAAAGAATAAAGGAATCTTGTAAACCAGACAAGGTAAGAGCCAGGACCTGGCAAGGGGACCCATCGCTGCACAGGGTCAGAGACACCCCAAAGGGAAAGCTTTGTCTAAAGAAATAACAAAAGGACACAAATGTGGGTTTCAAATGATTGTTATGTGGAGGAAACCAAAGTCCATTTGCAAAAGCAACAAATCTTTCAGAAGCAAAGCTTTCACGCTACTGAAAAATCAGGAGGCTTTTGTTCTGAGAGGAAGGCAGCAGTATCTCTGTGGAGCATCCTATCAGCAAATTTTCATTTCTAGCTAGTCGCTCCCTTCAGATCTGAGACCATTTTCGCCACCATATCAAAAGTACAGTGTCTGCATTAGAGTTCAAAGTTTCTACATGATGAAATTCATTCTTTCAGAAGTTAAGTATAAGGCTTGGAATGAGCATAAAACTTTGAGTTGAAACTTCTTGTCAATCCTTGGCTGCTCCCTTCCACCCCACCCCACCCTCCACTCCTTCTTAACATCTGACAAGAGTCAATAGAGCCGCACTTCAGTTCCACAGTGCTGTCTGAGTAGGTGCATAACCTCTCTTGATTTCAAGAGAGCCCAAAGCAGAGCAATATTTTCCCTACTTATTTTCAGAGGCAAACTCTTAAAATGAAGATTCCAAAAGTGAGAGTCAGCCACCAATTTAGGACCCTCTGTATTTTATCTAGTGCTTCATTACAGTGGTTTCTTATCCTTGCACTGGGTCCACTGATTCATTTTTAAATTTAGCTTGCATGTTGAAATGCTCTATAGGTGACCGCTGAAAAGAAAGTTGTCTTTTCAACTAAAGTAGCATTTTTAAAAGATAAAAACACAATCTTTCTCCTCTAGCAGATATGTTTTCTTTCACTCATTCCTGTAGGCCAAGGGGGACAGGGCAAACAGAACAAATCCTTTCTAGGCAGAACTCGACCATCAGAGCCGTTTTGAGACCTGAAATGTGGTTTGTTGTACACACATGAATGACACAAACACAAATTCCCCACAGCAGAGATTCTATGGATTGGTATTTCTGCAGCAAGCTTGCCCCCTACTCCTCCCGGAATTCTCATGGGAACTGTGTATTTTCTCTCCTATGGGACACCCCTCAACCTTCCTTCCAACCTCGCAACCCTTCCTTCCAAATATCCATGGTGGTAAAAGCAATTACAATGACTTTGTTCAGTAAGTATGTGTTAGGGAAGCCTTCCAGTTCAAAAGCCTTCGGTAGCTACCACTCCAATGATCTGAGCGCTGGAAGTTCGCCCCAGTCTTCCTACATAAATCCAGTTTTTAAGTATACTTAGCCTCCTAGAATTTCTTCTGTAGATAATTTCCTCTCATTGCTTCCACTTAACATAGTTACCATTAACCTCTGGGGTATTTTGGGGGCATATTTTTTTAAGTGTCCTCAATAAACAATTTTGATATTATATTTTCAATTAAGAAGTTTTCTTTTTTACAACATATTTAAAGAAATTGTCCAAACTGCTGAGGATTGAACTGGAAACCCAAATCACAGTGACCCCTCACAAATTCCCTCTGATTGACCCAGAGTTCTTGCTCACCAGGCTGTGACTGTGTCCCTAAATTTATTGACACAATTGCTGAGGGTAAGGTTTTCACAGTCTCTTGAAATCCAGTGCAGTGAAAAGCTGATCGCTAGCATTTAAGAACCCTTCAGGTAAATGTAGAAGGTGATGTCAAAGTTCAGTGTCTGAACTTCAAATTCATCTTTGTTCATTCCCGTTTGTCCCATAGGTCAAGGAAAAATATATATATATGCAAGCAAATTAACCCCTAGCAGTAACCTTGGTAATACTATTACCCTCCAGGATTAAAATGAAATAAAAATTTAAATGTTATCGTAGGCTTTATGTAAATGTTTATTTTAACTTAAAAATTTGTTCTTTAAAAAAAATTTGTTGTTTAGCACATGTTTCTTATGGAAGTCTGTGTCTTACTGTAAGAGCTGTTTATCTGTTCAACTGTTTATTTCCCAGATGATAAGATTCTGTACTTATAGAAGTACTCCTTTGGAGACAGCTTCCTCAAGTTAGTAAAAAGCAAGGTCACTGTTGTTACACAGGATACAGCACTTTGAATTGGCATCAAATAAGATGTTCCAAGTGGGTGCTGAGATGTGGCTTAGTTGAGAGAGAAAAGACAGATGCTTGTTGTGTGGTTCATGTTATTCTGCCCAACAGCCGTTACCAGGGGCACCCACAGTTCTAAGCACAAGGCTAGAATCTGATAGCTCACCACCCAAAGGACATACAATTTAGACAAGAATAACATTGCAAATACAGAGTGAGCCAGTTAAAGATGAACCCTTTCATGTTTCTTATCCCCTCAATGTTTCAAGTCAGTTCCAATGACTCTTCTTGAATTAACATGCTTGATACTAAAAATTGGCTTCAACTTCTCATACAAACCCCTCAGATCATATCTTCTCCCTGTTAGCTGACAAAATGCTTTCCCTCGAACCATAGTCAGTTCAGGTACACTGCATGAAACATACAGATTCTTACCTAAGACAAATAATACATGTTTTCTGCCTCTTTGCAATTAGAGGAAATTGGAAGATGCTCTGACAGTAAGTGTGGGTGTTTGTTAGCCTATTCATTGTAGTAGTTTCTCTTGTAAGAGCAGCCTCAGTACCCTGGAAATGACCCTTCTCCCCATAGTTGCCATGATTTGTGGTGGTGCTGTGAATGCATTTGCTTACTTAGTCTTCTTGTGAATGCTTGGCTGGTCCTGTTATTACATTAACTGAATTTAGAAACCCAGAGAGAATTAATTGTACAAAACTAAGTGCTTAAAAAGTTCAAAGAAAAGAGACATACAGTACACTGCTAATAAAGCAGAGAAATGCAGTGCAAGGGTATTAGCAATATGCCCTAACCCATAAGAAGTGACCTTTGCTTTTTTTTGCCTTTTTTATCTTGTTTGCAACAGGAATGAGGTGACAATAGAAATTTCTAATATTCATCATAAAACTATGGATGATTATGCAGCAGGCAACCTTAAGACTCTGCTACCTGGATGCATATTACTGATAAACAAAAGAACAGTTTCAAAATCTGTCGCTCCTTTCTGGTTGCTCACAGGGCCTGTATTCATTCATTTGCAGACACTGCCCTAGAGATGAGGCCAGTAGAGAAACAAGTTTACAAAGCATTCAGGGAATGGATGGGCCTTTGAACAGCTGCTCTTCTAAACACTGAGGCTATTCTTCATTGGCCATTAGTCAGTGAAGAACGCTTGTGTTGCTGCAAAGAAGTTTCCATTTCAGAATGTTTCCAAAAACCATGCTTGTTTGCATAATTGTAATAATGTTTGATGTCAGTGCTGTTGTTCTGAGCCTAACATCTGCTAGACTTTACGTAACTCTGAGATTTCCAAATCAACAAGGTCTTAGATTTTCCCCAGGCCTTCACAAGTTTAGCAATTACTGCTATTCTTTTCCTCCTTTCTAGAGTACAGTGGACAAACTCATTAAAAAGACAAACCTGGCCCTCGTGGTGGGTACCAACAGCTGGAGAGAACAGTTCATTGAGGCTATCACTGTCAGTGCTGGTGAGTACCTTTCTCTGCACATATAAGTTAAAATTTGCTATTTTCTTATTTTGGCCTCTTGTTTGTCTTATTTTTTCACTTGGTCTACAACAAAGCATCAAAGAGTGTAAAATTCAGAGAAATGCATGTATTGACAAATCCTTCCATGTATGCACGTTTTACAGATTAAATTAGACTGTCTAAATGAGGCAAATGTCTTCAAACATGCCGTTCTTCTCCATGTGCACTACGTCATTCTCTCTGAAAATAGATAAGATAAATTTAAAGTCTTTTGTGTCTTTAGTTCACTGATAGCCAATTATGGGACTTCATCTGGAAGATTCCCTGAAAACAGCATAAAGTGGTCAAGAGAAAGTCAGAAAGAAAGGAGTAAGATACTAAGAGGAAAAGGAAAATATTAAGGCTTTCCCCACCACCATCTGCATCATTTTATACTCTTTTCAACAGCGTTTAACAAAATACACATTTGCACTCATTCTGGAAGTGCAAATAGAAGCACATCCTGTTTCATTCTGTGCAAGCTATGTGCAGAGTTTTGTTTAGGAAAATCCTGCATAATGAAGTGTTTTTCAAACTAAGGGAGTCAGAGACTTGAGAAAATTGCATACAGACAGAAGTGTCCCTTTCCGGTATTGTCAAACCTTGTCCTCTTCCTGGGTGTTATATAAAGTCAGAGGGACATCCCCCTTGAAGATTCAAGAAAGTAACACCACCCCTTGGAATTCTTCTTGTTTTCCAGTTCTTTTGCCCTTCCACACTTTTTTTTCTCTTTAAAGATCCCCACAGGTCTTTATTCTACTGCTGTAGCTAATAAACAAAGACAGTGTTTTCTAAATAGTGATTCCAAGCTGTGAAATACGGAATGGGCCATTGGGTCATGACTTCTAACATAGCCTCCCGTTTCCAATCTGCCACAGAATCATTTGACAGATCTTCCAAGTGATGTGAGAACAGAGGGTGGTAAAAAAAAAATCATGGCCCTGTTTATTATTAGTACTGTTTATAATCACTCTGCAGTTTTTTGCAATTGAGTATACATTGGGAATTTATAAGCATTTAATGGTAGATAACTGCTTTGCAGAGTGGATTATTAATTTATACTTAAGATCAATAGGAGGTGGAAGCTCCTGTTTTCAGCTTAATTTTTTCTGTAAGTCTAAGTTTAATATCTGAGGTGCGAACTCGCCTCTCTTCACAGCAAGAACTAAACGGGCAAAACTGCTGATGAGGCCAATATTTAAAAGAACATTAAAAATAAGTTGTTTTATGGGCTTTGACATATTATGATTAGAACAGTGAAGGAAATGCAAGCCTTTTAATGAAGGATTCCTAACAGTTTTCAGGTTTCCTTTAACTGTACCTACATAAACATTTATAGAATGGCCATGTACCGTGGTCATCGTTCATTAGTTTTCTATGTGTCCATCTTGTTCCTGGTGTCTGGGATATGACAGCAAATGATATAGACAAATAAATGCACTTGCATTCTCATGGCCAAGACAGAAAATAAGAAAAACAAGTGAAAGTAAATTGTCAGATTGCTTTGGAGAAGAATGAGGCTGAAAGTGAGTGTAGACAGAAAGTATGTGTAGGCACTGTCATTTTAATTTGGGTGGCCACAATGACACCAACAATACACACTTTTTAAAAAACAAACGCAATTCGCTGTTCTAACCGTTGAATGATTTTGTGTAGTTGGTGCATTCACACATATTTGTAACTCCCAGGACCATGCCAAATACTTTATGGCCATACTATGGCAAGGAAAAGGGAAGCTTTAAACACTGGGTGAGGTTATGTCACCATCAAAGCCAAAGTCGTGCATTTGAGTCTGATTAGCGTAACTGTATAGAGAAACATTTACAAAGATGTTAGTACTTCTCTGGAAGATGGACTTCTGTTTGCAGGCACTAAAATAGTTGCAATCACCTCTGTTTCGTGGACAGAGGCTGGCCTTGTCATGCTTCCTGGAGCCACAGTGTCATCCTTCTATAATGGGCCTCACTCCTGCCCAGTCTTTTAAAGAACCATTAAGGAAGGAAGTGCTAAACCTATCAAACATGCTTGTTTATTATACAGTACATTGTATTTTATGTTTTTAAATGACTATGTAGTAATAAGACTTACTGTTTTGAAATTTGCAAGTGTCTGGGTAAACTGACCTTATTTACAATGTTGGGACACAAAATATCAGAAAAAAAAAAAAAAACTGAATTACATTCAACTACATAAAAGATAACTTTTTAAAAGCCCAATGCTTGCTATTATACTTAAATGTAAGTGTCTAAAGAATGTTAATATTCTTAGGTTGTGAAACACACACTAAAAATTTTGAGGCAGCATTTATTGAAGACAGACTTTTACTGGATTTTAAGATTTCATGGCTAAATGGTTGAGAATTAGAAAGATTTGCTTTATTAAAAAATATTAAATTGTTTTTGAAGGGCTCTACTGAGATTTTCTTCCTAAGCAATTTTCTGAACAAAATTGAGTCTATATATCTTGCTAAACAAAAATAATAATTTTGTAAATAAGATTTTACCTTTCTTTCTTATTAACTATATTCAAGCTAGTTTCAAGGCAACCCCCAAGCAATTTTACCACTTGCTCTTCTTGAATTTTATAGCTCAGTATCTGAACCTCCAAGGACCATAATGTTTCTGAAAACCAAGTTTTATGGTTCAATATTTAAAGAGTTAAAGGACTCACGAGATTTTAGAGATAGGAAGGATTTAAGCAATCATGTCCCAGAGATTCTCTTTCTGTTGCTTCCCAGGTTGAATACCAGGGGCAGTGCAGTTGTAGCAATTAAACGGCTGTCAAAACTTGCAAGGCAAGTCCAGTACCACCAGCCGCTTTTATGATATGTCAGAATGTGCATTTCTTAATAAAGCTGAGTCTCACTGCCTCTCTAGTTTGAGTTTTCCCCAGTTCTTTCTTTTTTCTAATATCTACCCAGGGCAGAACGGGTGGGCTGTCCTTAAGAAATAAGGTGCTAGCTGGGATACAAGGTAAAATAGTTGCATCACAGCAGAGAGAAAACATTACCTGGGTGAAGAAAGTCAATTGCACAACCACCATGTGTGTGGTTGCCTTGGGCTGAGGCAAGGTTAAAGAATGAATGATAGCAAGGCTAGCTTGTAGACAAATGGGGTTTGTGTCCTAGCATTCCAGAAACTCTTGATTTTAGTGTGGACAGATTACTTAACCTCAGAAATCTGTTTCCTCCTATGTAAAGGGGAGATAAATATATCTTGCTGTTGGGGTTACTATAATAATTAAAACAGTGCACATTTCACAAGAACCAATTCTACGTTTGGCAATCTAAATTGGTTGTTTAGAAGACAAATCTTGTATATTGAAGATTCTACTATGACATGCAATTAAATTTATATAAATGCAGTTAATTTAACTTAATTATTAAGTACTAGAGCTAAAAACACACTGGTTGACCTTTTGTTATTTGGTGTTGCATATGCTGTTTCATAGATAAGCATGCATACTAAGATTCAGAAAAAAAAAAAAAAAACGTAACTTGCTCAGAAAACTGCTTTGGGGCAGTTCTAGCGTACATATCAATCCAGGATTCTCTCCAGTGTGAGGCGTGAACTTGCTTGCTGTACTTAAGTCCTGAGAACATGGAAAAGCATGTAGAACATACACCCAGATACACATGCACATACATACATATGTGCAAACCCCCCAAACACACGGAAGGTCACATACAAATATAAATATATACTTTCACGTACATACATGAGCATATTGAGACACATACACAAAACACACATGCACAGAGACATGCATTTACACCATCTATGGCATGTATTTGTGTAGATATTTAAGCTACAGCTCTACGCTCAACATATAAAAGATACTAAATTTGTTGTTTTTTACAGCCCAGTTTATGACTCTTTGGGGAGGATGCTTGTTAATTTTGAAGAACAAAGAGAAATGTTTGTTTTCTTACCTTTTGCTACCTTATTATTTGTGACATTATTTAAAGAAAGTCAGAACACTACTGTTTCTTTTACCTGATAATTTTTAAAACCCACCAACAGAGATTTTTCTGAAATCTCTTCACTTTTGACATAGATTTTGTATATCTTAGACAATGAAGGAAAACAAATCTAATCTCCTCCTCCCCAACACACACACACACACACACACACACACAATCCTCTTTGTAGTCTGGTTGTGTCTTTGCATGTCTTAAAGTTCTTCTGAACTTTAGTTTTATCATCACTGGATTGGACAAGACTAGCCCTAAGATACCACTCAGTATTAAAGTATTGGAGCTCTTTCAGTAAAGCTGGTATAGACCCAGGATCCCTAATGATATGCATTACTGCACACATAATTTGAGCAACGGCCCACCAACATGCCTTGCCTAAATTGAATGTTCTGAAAGCTAACATGTTCTCCATTATCTGTTCTCCTAAAATCAAATCATAGAGGAGACTGTCAAAGGCAAGCCTCGAAATAAAAAAAAAAAAACTGAAAATACTAAGTCATGATGATGATGATGTTAATGCAAAACTGCCTAGTTTTCTTCCAGTTCCATAACTGGAACTCAGAAATGCCAATGAAACGTTCTGCAGTACAAGAGGAGGCATTCAGCATGAGGCCAGATGGGACAGGTAGCTAACTGTGTGTCACAGTGAATTACAGTGACCAAACTGCAGCTAAATGAAGAAATGAGAGGCTGGGGCTGGGGATTTAGCTCAGCGGCATAAGCACCTGTCTTCCACAAGACCAAGACTTTGTATACACTTTTTCTGTTCTTCATAGCTGTAGGCTGAGGTTTACAATTGAGATTTCTGAGCTGCAACGTGGTTACATCATTTGTTGAAGTTCACACAACTAGCCACTGGGCCAGCTGGAATATACAGCCTCATTTAGGTGAATCTAGAGCCAGTAAGCTCTCAGCTTTTCCCCAGGTGTCTCTTCTACAATTTCAGTGAAAGTCATAAGTGGGTGCATGTCAAATGAGTTACTGT